GACTTACCTCTGTGCCGTTCGCTTAGGTTTTGTAACTATGTGACGTATCTATATTCTTTATTGCCATGCTATATTTTGTATCTGTTATATATATATATATATATATATATATATATATATATATATATATATATATATATATATATATATATATATATATATTTTTTTTTTTTTTTTTTCTTTCTTTCTTTTATGTACCATTGTTGATTTTGTATCTTGTATATATTTGCTTGTATTTGTGAATTTTATGATATATGATTTATTCGTGAATCTTTCGTCTGGAATTTCCTTGTGTGAGCGGGTACTGTTATTATCATCATATTATCATTGTCATTGTCATAATCATTATTGCTATTATTACCATTGTCACTATTATTATTGTAATTGTTATTGTTATTGTTATTATCATTATTATATTATCAATAATAATAATAGTGGTGGTAGTAGTAGTAGTAATGATAATGATACTGGTAATAGCAATATTGATACTAATAATAGAAATGATAGTAATGATAATGTTAACAACTACACCAGCAATAAGAGAGACAACAACAACATAATAGTAATAATGACAATATTTTTTTCGTAACAATGAAAATAATGATAATACTAGTGCTATGACTAACATCATTGATAATTGATGTTGATAATGGTTAATCATCATCACCATGATCATCATAATGATAATAATGATAATTATGATAATAATGATAATGATAATGATAATAATAATAATAATAATAATAATAATCATAATGATAGATATAATAATAATAATAATAATAACGATAATAACAATAATAATAATAATAATAATAATAATAATAATAGTAATAATGACAATAATAATAATGATAGTTATGATAATACTGATAATAATAATAATGATAATTATTACAATAATGATGATAATAACAATAGTACTAATGATATTAACAATAATATAAATTATAATAATAATAATAATAATAATAATGATAATAATAACTTGATAGTAATAATGTTAATAATAACATTGATAATGATGATGAAAATAATAGTAATAGTAATAATGATAATAATAATAATGATAATAAATAGATAATTACAATTATACAATAATGAAACAATAATAAATGAATAATAATAATGATACCAATAATGTTGATAAAAATAATAATGATAATAATAATGATACTCAAAATAATAATAATGGCAGAAATGACAATAGTAATGATGATGATGAGGAGGAGGAGGATAATAATAATAATCATAATAATGATAATAATAATAATAATAATAATAATAATAATAATAATAATAATAATAATAATAATAATGATAATAATAATAATAATAATAATAATAATAATAATAGTAATAATAATAATAATATGATAATGATGATGATAATAATATCAATATTGATTATAATACAGATGAGAGTGCTGCTGCTGCTGCTGCTGATAATAATAATAGTAATAATGATAATAATAATAATAACAATAATAATGATAATAATAATAATGAAAATGATAATAACAATTATTATCATTATTATAAAATTAATAATAGTAATAATTATGATAATAATGATATAAAAACAATAATAATAACAATACGGTGACGGTCATGATCATGATAACAATAACAATAGGAATAATATAGTGATACTGATATAATAATAGTAATAATAATAATAATAATAATAATAATAATAACAATAATAATAAAAATTATAATAACAGTAATAGTAGTAGTAATAAATATAATAATAATAATAACAGTAGTAGTAGTAGTAGTAGTAATAAAGTTAATAGCAATAATCATAATACTGATAATAACAGGAACAGCAACAACAACAACAATGATAATAATATTAATAACAACAACAATTATTCTTCTTTAGCTTATTCCTCTCTTTATTCGGGATCGCTATTTTTGAAGTCTCCAGTCGTGCGTATTAAAATACTCTTCACCAGATATTTCCGTCTCTCTAAAATCTGTTTGCAGGCAGTCTCTCTATATCCTTTGTGGCGCTTTCTTTTTTCCTTCTCACTTCTATGTCCATATTAAGCACTCGCTTTCTCACATATTCCTCCTTTTTCCTCTTTACATGACCGTACCATTGTAATCTTCTCTCCTTTATTTCCTTGATATTTCCAATGCTTTAGTTGTTCTACGAGTTATATCATTGCTAATTCTATCAGTTCTCTACACACCCACCACCACATACGCATTTCTGCTACATCGAGTCTCTCTTCTGGTCCTTTTTCATCGGCCATGTTTCTGCCTGCTACATCATTGCTGGTCTTACCACCGCCCTGTATAATTTTCCCTTCATTCTCACACTAATCTTCTTTTCATACAAAACTCTTGGTGCATTCTTCCAGTTTCTCCAGCCTGACTATATCCTATGACTTTCTTGGCCCAGTACCCCAGCTGATGACATATGGGAGCCTAAGTATTTGAAGGTGTTAGTCCTTTTCAAGTGTTTCGCTCAGCAGCAGGACATCCTCGA